GTCTCATGTCTCTCTAATCTCAACTATGCAAGTTTACATTGCAGGGTTTAAATGCCTCTAGTGGTTGTCACTCTGACAGCCACTAGAGGCGCTTCCGATAAAATAGCTAAGGAAAACTCAGACGGTCTCATAGATAAATAGAGGCCATCTGAATGGCATAGCGCAGCGTTTTACCACACATGTGCAATAGCCTCTCAATGCTTTCCTATGGAAAAGCATTGGATTGGCTGAGATCATCGATGATAAAAGCCAAGGGAGTAGATTTTCTCTACGGAGACTGTTGCGACGAGGGTGGAAAGATAAGTAAAACTTGCTCTTTGAGCCCTGACATTGCATGGGGAACACTAGCATAGATAGGCTAAAACAGTAGCATTAGAAAAGCATGCACTATAATGTATAATAAAGTACATAGCAAACTAATATACACTACCCAGTGCCTGTTATTATATTAGAAATGAAGTGAAAACCAGGATTGGCTAAGAAAATTTGGCCATATCCTGGTCTCCGTAGAATCTTGAGATGTTCACAAATGTTCACAAATTCTGAATAATGTTTGAGCCTAGCTCCAAAACAAGAATTGTAGATGCCCCTGGTTTTGAAAAGCTCAACAAGTCAGGGGGCAGCACCCCACCATCTTTAAACCTCACCAACCTCCACTATTCTGCAGTATTATATAAGCAGAATATTAAAACAGCACTCTGTTGTATATTGCATGGTATGGGCTGTCTGTGGCAGTGATAGCGTTAACTGTATCTGGCCAGGAGCATCTGGATTCAGCGGAAGTCAGGGATATCTGCTGATTTGTCTGTCATACACTGAGATCTCTCAGCTGGGTTATGACAGACTTCGTATGGAAGGATCTCAGCGCCAGACAGTCTCATTAACTCGTTCTGAGCGGCAGTGCATGGGGTGAAAGATATTAGATACAGACAATTAGGAACTCGATGATTGTAATGAAAATGCTTGGTAACCGAATAACATAGCAATTTAGCCCTGTTTATCCAGCTTTACAAAAAAAAAAGTTCTTATTAAAAAAAATAAAAAAAATTTGTTTAATTAAATGGTAGAAGTGGCAGGTTTGCAGTGGTAGTTCTCATCTTTGTCTTGTCAGAAACCCACATATAACCATAGCCTATCACCCCAAACCGTAAGCCCTGCTTAATGCTAAACCCAGATTTAGCCCAGTAGCAATATTTAACCCTGCATTATTTGAAACAGTTCTGTAACAATGCTGCATTATATTAATAAACACATTTTTCGTTTTTGCTATGACATTTTGAAAGTCGACCCACTCCAGAACTACCTCGTCGTAAGTGTTTTTTTTTTTTTATATAAGTGTAGTTGTGGAAATGTTGATCTGTCTTGGGTATTCATTATCCAGGGCAACTAAACCCTACCTAGTTTGGAAGACATTGTGTTTAAATCTGTAATTGACTGGTCTGGTGTTCATCCATGGAGATTAGAATTGATAACCAGTCCCACACACAGTAGCTGGATGAAGAGTCTCCATAGAGGTGTTTTTTCCCATTAGAATCATAAAGGGGGTAATTAACTGAAAGATAACACACAGATAACAAACATGATAACAAGCATGTATTAGATGCTTTCAACAGATGTAGGACTCAATTAATTGGATTACACATCTCTTTTTTTCAACTGCAATTCGATATAATCTGGTCATCCTACTGGTGGGTGAATTAGCTCTGTCACCAAGACAAAGCAATAGTATGTCTACCTCCGACACAGAAAGTGACCCAGAAAGATATCTTTGTATTGGTTAATCACTTCAATATCATGGTAACATAAACTCGAGTTTACAGCTTTTTAAAAAGATTTTTTTAAAAATAACATTTTCAATGTTTTTTGATTAGCAAAAGGATAGCAATGTTAGACAATTTGTATCCCATTGGCAGATTACCCCATAGATTATGTAGGGATGTGTTTCAATACGCACCTCGAGGTGCCATTGCTGTTTAGCTATTTCCAAAAAATAAATTTTTGCTCACATTTCCTGTTAGTAAATTCTGGCAATAGTCTGAGGATCAAGCATTGATAGCCCTATGCTACATAAATTTTTTTCTCTAAGGGCCATATTAAAATTACAGTTATTTATATAGTGCGCTCATATTCCACAGCACTGTACAATAAATGTAATATTAACAAATACGCCGACAACCACGCCGAGGATGCTTGAGAGGATGCCGACTACATCACCCGGGATGAGAGCGATTGAACCAAACTCCCGACCTGAGGCGCGGGATCGAACTCGAGGGGGAGGTACGGGAACATACGGAGCCGGCTCAACCCCAACACGGCGGAGACGAGAGGGACGACCACTCCCGCCCCCCATGTCACCCCTTTCTGTCCCCTCCTCTCCCCCCACGGTTGAAATTAACCATAACACGGCACACGGCAAGGGCGCAATAGAGTTCTAACACTCAGGATGGCTAGTCGCCACTGTTACATACCACTCGTTTAGAATAAGGCGACTTTAGACACTAGTTTCAATACTCTTTCAGCATGTTGAGGATCAACAACGTTGTTTAGCCTCGGCATTTATTGTTGTACCTACCAAAGCTTATTTACTACCGATGTTAATAACACCACCTTTGTCATAAACTGGAAAAAACTCTACTGACTAAATAAAGATTGTCTAAAAAAAAAACAACAAAAAAAACAAAAACAAATACTTATGACATACAGGAACAAAAGGGGATGAGGGCCCTGCACAAATGAGCTTACAATCTAAAGTGATATCTCACCCTGTGTATAGTTCAATCCCCCATATGTGTACTCCATAAATCAGGAATTACAAGCTGTCCATGATGGAGTTGGCCTATTCTTTTGCTTAAAGGAAAACTTTAGTATTAGGAATCCAAAGATGTGATTTCTCTGCCCACCACCTCGCAGCCAATCCCGGTGGCAAGTAAATGACAACAAAACAACTTTATTCATTTACCCTATTCCAGCACCAATATCCATTGGTTCTGTGTCAGGCTTCTCCTCTGCCAATGTCAGTTGATGGGGGTGGGGACCTCATGCGCATGCGCCGCGAACACCACACTTCCGTTAAGCAAGATAGTAAATAGTAAATCATTGACTGAGTGCTTTTTCTCTATGGGTTTTAGAAGACACTGGATGTTCTAATGCAAAGCCAAACAGGATTAATATGTTTATTAAAAGAAACTAAAGATTAATAAAAATTAAAAAAAAAAACCCCCACAGTGCATTTCTAAAATTATCTGAAAACACATAGCATCATGTATGTTTGTGTGGGTGCCTGATAGAGGGATAGAGGCGAGTATAATATATAATGTTTGCTAAGACCTCTAGGTCTATAACAATGCAAAGTTTGCAGTACATGCTCTGTGAAAATGGCTGCTTTGAGACTCCTTGTCACATTTTAGCCAACAGGAAAACAGGAACAATTACTCTCCCCTCTCCTATTATATTTAAATGATATTCAGCATGTACTGCAAGTGTGAATAGTAAGCTTAGTTTGGTAAAAGGAAACTGGGTTTTACCTAAATATTACTTAAGATGATGGGTTGTGCTGAAACTGAAAATTAAATAAAATTGCTAAGTGGGTCAAAGAGCAATAAAGAACATTTTACAAACAGTGAATGTCAAGTACAGAATTAAGTTCATGAAACAAATGTGTTATATACAGCTGTGTATGTTATAGCAGATACCTGAAGGGCTGCCAGATAAACCATGTTTTTCTGCACATACATCACTTGGTAAATCTGGTGGGCAGCACAGGAAAAATGCTACCGTCCGGGAAATAGAATCCTACCATGATTGATTAAATGATCCTTCTGGCAACATATATTCTATTGATTGCAGTGCAATTCCTTTTATGCACTAACCATCAGCATACTGTAAAGCGCTGCGGAATAGGTTGGCACTATATAAATACCAATAATAATAACAATAATATTGAATTTTGGTTTTGGCAACAGTACCTGAAAGACGGCAGACGTACTGCCAGTATGCGTCCGTATAAAATGTGATGTTTTGTTTCATAGCTATGTTACTAACAAATACTAAAGAATGCTGACCCCCAAACACACACACTTCGCTGCACCCTCCTTTCAGCCACATGGGAAAATATTTGTCTAAGAGTCTGATTACTGGAGAGACCCATTTACTAGGGGGTGTGAAAATATCTAGCGTCTGCAAGCAAACTAAATGAGAAGATAATGTTACAGTACAAGGGATATAACTCAACTGCCAGACTAAACTTTCTTACCCTATGCCCCTCCTTGCCAGCCAAGTCTCCCCCCCCCCTTTCACCCTCCCCTTCCAACCTCTGATATGCTTCAATTTTCCTACTATTGCTCTTTTTACCTTTTAGGAGATTAACCCATACTTTTCCACTCAATCTCTGTCCAATAAGTTTCATTCAATGAAACCCCGGCTATCTGATAATATCGCTTTAACATGAGAAATACTGAAATATCAGCAAAGTGTTTTTTTCCCCCAGGGTCAGTACTAAGTACACGCATCTTTCAAAGTTGAAATAGGCAGTAGGATATATGAGAAGCTTTTCTTCCCCCGGGGTTGAAGCATTTAGCTTCATATTGTGATAATGATCGTAGGAGAGAAAATAAGAAAATGATTAAACAGTCAACACAGCTGCTACAGAGAGTTTGAGGAAGGGGAGCACCCAATTTGGAAACTGGACAAAATTGAAAATAACTGATCAATAATGAATTGCACAAAAGGTAACAGAAATTATTCTAGAGTTATTTCAGTTGCCAAATGGTTTATTCGGGGCTATTGTAGAAAAGAATAGAAATCGGAAAAAAATTATTTTTTTTAACGTGCAGTAGTGCAGCTGCTATGCCAATGGGACGTAGTCAGCTGAAACCTTTTTCACCCACACAAGCAGGTAGTATGTAGAAGGATTCAATAAAATTAAGTGTTTTGTCTAGCTACATGTACTTTAGTCTCTTAAAGGATCACTATAGGGTCAGGAACACAAACATGTATTCCTGACCCTTTAGTGTTAACACCACCATCTAGCCCCCTTGGGACCCTCATGCCTCCATAAATATAGCAAAATCTTATTGTATTCAAGCCTGAAGCTGTAGATCTGCATGCTGTTTGCCTCAGAAAAACAAGCAGTCTGCTGACATCATCAGAAGTGGTAGCCTGATCCAATCACAATGCTTCCTCATAGGATTGGCTGAGACTGACAAGGAGGCAGATCAGGGGCAGAGCCAGCATGATTCAAACACAGCCCTGGCCAATCAGCATCTCAACATAGAGATGAATTGAATCAATTAATCTCTAGAAGGAAAGTTCAGTGTCTGCATGCAGAGGGTGGAGATTCTGAATGTTTGGATGCAGTTTAGGCAGCCATAACCCAGGAAGGATCTCTAACAGCTATCTGAGGAGTGGCCAATGAAGTTATCCCTAAGCTGTACTGTAAACACTGCTTTTTCTCTGAAAAGATAGTGCTTACAGCAAAAAGCCTGAAGGTAATGATTCTACTCACCAGAACAAATTCCATAAGCTGTAGTTGTTCTGGTGAATATAGTGTCCCTTTAACTACTGCTGTGATATTAGGGCGACCCCAAGGACTTGGAGTTGATGTTTTGTTACGTTATTCCAACCGTATGTAAAGAACAGTTGAATATATAAAGCAGGCAATACAATTATTGTCCATGCTTTTTACCCACCTAATTTCTCGGGTTTGGAATGGTAAATTATGAGTTTGTATTTAGGATGGGGCGAAACATCTTTCAAGCATAAAGGACATGAAGATAACCAGCCACTGATCTCTTCCAATAAAAACAAAAACAAACGTAGTATGAACTTGTTTTTGAAACATATATGTTTGGCAGTTTTGGGTTAGCCCAGTAATTGGACCGATATGGAAGCGCTACATAGGAGTTAGCCTCTGGGTTCTGGGGAGACCCAGTCTTTTTGTTAAAAATGCTCAAAGGTGGTTTGAGTGGAAATGGGGTTCTGGCACCCAAGAGCAAAATAACTACAATGGGCTGTAGTGGTTATTGTGTTAAGTGTCCCTATAGGGCAGTGGTTACCAAAACAGATGTCATGGCCCAGCAACAGTCAAGGATGTATGTATCTACCTTTGCTATTCCATTGGAGATACTGACAAAACCTGGATTGTTGATGGGTCATGATGAGTGGTTTAGGAACCACTGCTTTAAGGCTTAGGCTTAGACTCCTGAATAAAAATTGCAGATGGTGCATTGCCCACATATTGGTAAAATGTTGTGCTGTATAATTATTAATGGAACATAGTGTATCGATGCTAGCTTTGATATTGTTCCACTGTAATATAAAAAAGGGTTTAACTGTTTTCATTTTTATAGTGCCTAGAAACCAGTGAGCAAAAAATGATCAATAATGTATTCTTTCCACCTGCAGAAATCAAGCCGTTTGACAAGTAAACGGATAAAAAGTGGGTGTTGATCTCAGCACGCCATGTTGAATCTGTTCTGATTATTAACCATAATAACAAAAAAAAGGCTATTTAAAAATAGACCCAGACTGTGAACTAGTGTATAGTGAAAGCTACATCAGTACTTCCCTTACACCGCACTATTAATACAAAGTACAATAACAATATATAGAGTGACAAGACAACATAAACAACACCAGTATGTAGTGGAGCGGTAAATGTGGGTGCCTATATGGAATGGGTACACTCACCATTTCCACATATATGAATGTACAGGTACAATATGCTTGTACTATATCTAAACAAAAGACAAAAAGTGTAAAAGTGTATAGTGTAACACTGTGAGTTGAATTTCCAAAAATTGTGTATAAATTCTCCAACTGAGGATGTCGGCATCTAATAAAACTCGTCTCAGGCCAAGAGGACTTTTTATTCTGTTTTTTGTTTTTATTTTATTTGTTTTAGTTATTTGTTTTTGTTATTTTTAACTTGGTTTTAATATAATGTATTTTATGGTTAAAAAAAATTGTATCATGAAATGTTTCCAATGATATCCTCTCTGCTATCTGGTCCAATTTACACCAAGGGAAAGTATCACCCCATATTTGGTTCTCAGTGCTATATCTTTGAGCCAGTTTTACAGGTGGCTTTACCAGGTGAGCTCTGTAATATATACACCTATTTAGTATCACCATCTGTGACTTATACTGCACCATTGCTATATTTATCTGTGTCTTCTTTTGAACATATTTATCCAAATATCAAGAGGAGGGAGTGTGCCATTTTTAAGTCACACAAGAGCTACAGATTTTAGCCAAACATTTACAAGCTCTGTGCCATGTGAGTGTGTCATTCCGGAATTTATACACTATATTTTAAAATTCAACTCACAGTGTTGCACTATAGCCTCTCTCTTTTTATTATTTATATCTATTTCAAGCATATTGTACAACTTAAAATCTTGAATGCGAAAAGGCTGCGTCTATTCCATATACATTCCCCCTTTTAGACGCTCCACTTACATACGAGTGTTTGTGTCATTTTAGGTTCTATTTCATTAATTTGAAGTGGATTACCAAAAAATATATATATTTTGTAGTTGTGGGTTTTCCATGAAAACAACCCACAGTTGTTTTCAACATGTGTTATTTTTAGTAAGAAAATGTATCTGGGTTAAAATACTCCACAGATACCATTAACCCTTTAAGAACTAAGCTCTTTTGCCATATTCCCTACTTCCTAAGTTATGTCAGAGCAGGTAAGAAAGGCATTTTGTTTGTTTTTGTGAGGAGGAAAGAAAGGAGTAAGAGGAGACAAAAATATATTTTTATAAATAAAATAAACAGTGTTTATCTAGATACTTGTACTTTAGTCTCTTAACTACTGTTGTGGTATTATGACCACCCCAAGTACTTGGAGTGTGACATTTTGTTACATTATTGTACCCTGTACAACATCTTTGCTTTTGCTTCCTACTTTAATTTAAAAAAAAAATATGGGTCCAAATAACCACATATAATCCAATCGAATACCAATGCTTGCTCGAAGGCTTTTTTCTCAACCTTATGTAAAGAACAGTTGAATATATAAAGCAGGCATAGTTCCACTTTGATTAAAAAAAATTACAAAATTATATATATATATATATACACACAGTGGTACCTCGGTTTACAAACGCCTCAGTTAACATAATTTTCGGTTTACAAATGAAAATCCATTGAATGCCTCAGTTTACAAATTTTTTTCGCAATACAAAGCAAGTTTCCCTGAGGTACCGCTGTATATATAGATAGATAGATAGATAATATGCCAAAATATATAGAGTATATAGATCAACAAATGTTATATTTCATGATAGTTCTACTTTGATTAATAAATATATTTTGGCATTTATTTTGCATATATATATATATATATATATATATATATATTTATATAAATATGCATTTTGCATTGGGTATATATATATATATATGTAAATGGAAAACATGCAGATCCCTTGTCTGGTGCCTTTGCAAGTTCTTCTCTTCTAACCCCGCCCAAAATTTCTGTGGCTGTCCAATCACAGACTTCCCAATGCAGCTCAATTAGATGTCTTTACAAGGTAGGTGTAACCAGGTGAATTTAGAAAAGTGTCAATTTATATTTAAATCTGCACTTTTTGTAAAAAAAATAAAAAATAAAAAAAGAGAGACACTCTTCACACATACATCTTTTCATCAAGTTAAAATGCTTTAGGGGTCTGGAATGTCACTTTAAATAAAAATAATTATCAAGGTATACAAGCGGTTCAGAGTAAGATCACATTGCTAGTACGATTTAGACTTGCTGACAGTGTGTAAACACTCCAAAAGTACTGTGATACAAAAGGTACGTTAGCTTGAAAATTATGTTATTTTTCAAAACTTGACATGTTTTTTTAATGCTGAAAAGCCAGATTGGTACATCATTCTTGATTTATTTCATGACCTCATATTCCACGATTAATAAACCTTTAAAAGAATATTATTGGGTAATTTAATAACATTTCAAAATGTAGAGAATTAAAATCCAAATGCCACAATTTTGGCTAAAATACTTGATCTGGACATTTGGGAAATTTAGTGAATAACAGTCTGGATTATTCATTTTCATCTGTTGAAGCAAATTGTTATCTTCAAAATTTAGTTAGAAAAAGTAAAAAAACTAAACAAAACAAAACCTCAGCTAAACTAGATTTTTACATGTGTATTTTTATTGTGGGCATGTCAGTTGTCCATTTGCCACAATACACTGTTTATTCAGTAATTCCTTATGTATAACTAGCATTTTCATTGTGGGGAAAATCAAAACAGCGTGAAGTATGAATAAAGAAATATAAAGCACAGTAATAATCTGAAAATACATCTGTAAAGATATTCTGTGCTTTCTTCATTACTTGGAATCTGTGCATATTTGTGAATATTACATTGTTTCCCAACTAAACCAATGACAGATAGGAGAAGAGTGATTCGGGCAGGGAATCAACTTTAGCTCAGCAATGAGAATTTCTGTGATGTTCTTGGCAAACTGCAAAGTAAGCATTTGGTCAGATGCATAGATAGGATTTTACTAGTCTTCCCGGGGAGGACAGATGTTTGAATTGATATAAGTTACTCATGAAGACGTATGCGGAAATGAGATCCTTATAGTTGCAAGATTCACCATGTTTTCTGGGACTTGTGTCAATGCTGCTCATGCTGTTATACATCACATTAAAAGTTCTGCATTGCACCATGTCTGATTCATGTGCTGTTGGAAGGAAATGAATAATATAATCAAGACCAGATCTCCGAGAAACTGCCTTGATTAATTGATTTCCACTTGCAGCATATTAATGCTAATATTGTAGGGCAGCACTTTTTCTGTGTTGATCATCAGCGTGACAAAAATGAGAATTGTGGAGGACTAGACAGGTGACAGGTGAAAAACAAGCATGTCAGATACAGGAGGTCAAATAAATTATGTTTAACCTGTAGGTCTGAATTTTGAAGACCAAGACAAGCTACCTGCGTACCTGTTAAACAAAAAAGAAAATAAATTAATTGATTGGATTCTCAAAATGAATGTGCATAGAAAGTCTCTGGCATTTAGTGTTATATATTGCTTAAAGAGACACACCTCACACACCTTGGCAGCTGGGGAGGGTTTCCGGCCCTGCTAGCTTTAACCTATCATTCAAAGTGGATGTGAATGTATCTCATACAGAAGCATTGGATGGCGGTTTAACCCCTTAAGGACCAAACCTCTGGAATAAAAGGGAATCATGACATGTCACACATGTCATGTGTCCTTAAGGGGTTAAA